CTGCTGCTGCTGCTGCTGCTGCTGCTGCTGCTGCTGCTGCTGCTGCTGCTGCTGCTGCTGCTGCTGCTGCTGCTGCTGCTGCTGGCAGTCTGTTTTGTGGTTGTTCGGTAGCTCTTTTTGCACTTGTCCATTTGCTGCGGGAAATGTTTGGGAATGAATTGTTTATTTATTTTAAATGAATTATTTATTTATTTTAAATGAATTAAATAAATAAAAATAAATTATTTGTTTTTTTGAAACAGAAGTTCGGCTGCTGCGCAGCCGCAGCAGCCGCAGCAGCCTGGGAGTTGGCTTCGTCTGTTTTGCTGACAGAGCAGCAGCAGCAAAAGCTCTCCTCGCCAGCAGCAGCGTTGCGGTTAGCGCAAACCCTAAACCCTAAACCCTAAACCCTAAACCCTAAACCCTCTTTCGGGGCCCACTTAGGCCGTAGACTTGCTGACACAGCAGCAGCAGCAAAAGCTCTCCTCGCCAGCAGCAGCGTTGCGGTTAGCGCAAACCCTAAACCCTAAACCCTAAACCCTAATCGAAACCCTAGTCTAAACCCTAGTGGCAGTTTCTCTCTATCCCTAAACTGCCGTAAATAAACCCTAAAATGATTTAATTTCAAAACCCTAAATTGCAGCAGCAGCTGCTGCTGCTGCACTCTCACCTGCTGTTCTTCCTGCTGCTGCTGTCCCTGCTGCTGCTGCTGCTCTTTCTGCTGCTGCTTCGCCTGCTGCTGCTTTTGCTGCTGCCGCTCCTGTCGCTGCTCCTGCTGCTTCTGCTGCTGCTGCTTCTGCTGCTGCTGCTTCTGCTGCTGCTGCTTCTGCTGCTGCTGCTTCTGCTGCTGCTGCTGCTGCTGCTGCTGCTGCTGCTGCTGCTGCAGGGGCATCCAGTGCGTGTCATGAAAGCTTTGTCGGAAGAAGAGTGCAGAGCGAAAGCAGCACTTAAGGAGCAGCAGCAGCGGAGTGGTGAGCTGCTGCTGCTTTTTATTTTAATTTTATTTTTTAATTTTTTGTTTTTTTTCTTTTTTCTTTTTTGTCTTTTTAGTTCCTTTTTGTTTCTTTGTTTTCTCCTTTTGCTGCTGCTTTCTGTCTCTTTTATTATCTCTCTTTTTATCTTTTTTTGTCTTTTTTTTATTTCTTTTTATTTCTTTTTTTGTTCATTTTTGGCACTTTTTGTTTTTTATTTGTCTCCTTTGCTGTCATTCTTTCTCTTCTTTTGTTTTTTATTTTTATTTTTGTTTTTTATTTTCTCCTTTTTTGAGATTTCTTTTTTTGTTTTTTATTTCCGTTTTGCTCCTTTTAATTCTTTTATTTTGTTTTTCTCTTGTTTCTTTTTACTTTCTTCATTTCCACATTATTTTATTTTATTTTATTTTATTTTACTTTATTTTATTTCTTCTAATCTTTTATTTGTTTTTGTTTTCGTTGATCTCCTTTATCTCTTTTTCCTTTATTTGTCTTTTAATTTCTTTCAAGTTCTTTTCATCTTTTATTTGTTTTTCAATTTCTTTTGTTTTCACTTTTCCTTTTATTTCTTTTTCTCATTTGTTTTTTATTTTATTTTTATTTATTTTTTGTCTTTTATCTCCTTTTATTTCTTTTATTTTTTATTTTTTAATTTATTTTTCATTTTTTATTTTTAATTTTCTTTTTTTGTCTCCTTTGTCTTCTTTCGCATTTTATTTATTTAAAACAGATTTACATTCTGTTTCTTCTTCACAATGAAAACAATTTAATTAACAATTAATCAATTAATTAATTAATTAATTATATTAATTAATTAATTAATTAATTAATTATATTAATTAATTAATTGATTAATTTTATTAATTAATTAATTAATTATATTTATTAATTAATTGATTAATTTAATTAATTAATTAATTAATTTTATTAATTAATTAATTAATTTATTTTATTTTATTTTTATGTTTATTTTTGTTTTCAGGGAAAAGCCGTTTGCCGCCGGCGGTGAGGAGAATGCTGGAGCGGAAGGTGAATTATTTTTATTTTTGATTTCTTTTAATTTTTAATTTCTTTTTTTATTTTTAATTTCTTTTCCTATTTTTAATTTCTTTTCTTTTTCTTTTTATTTGTGTCCTTATTTGTCTCTTTATTTGTTTCTCTGCTTGTCTCCTTTTTGGTTTTTTCGTTTTCTTTCATCTCTTTTATTTGTCTTCCTTTGCATTTTCAATTATCTTTTTTTGTCCTTTTAATTAGCTTTTCTTTATGTTTTTAATTATCTTTTTTGCCCTTTTAATTCTCTCCTTTTTTCCTTTTATTTGCCTCTTTATTTGCTTACTTTTATCCTTTTATTTGTCTTATTTTATTCGTTTTTTTGTCTCTTTTTATTCTTTTATTTGTCTTCTTTTATTCTTCTAGTTGTCTCCTTTTATTCTTTTTTTGTCTTTTTTTATTCTTTTAGTTGTCTCCTTTTATTCTTTTGTTTGTTTCTTTTTTTTCCCTTTATTAATCTCTCTTTGTCCCTTTTGTCCTTTCATTTGTCCTTTTTAAAT